CGTTTTCTATGATAATCTATTTTCGGCAAATTTGGTTATCTAACCAACTTCCCGGAAAGTAGATATTTCCCATTTTTTATGATACAAATTTCCCGTTTTCTATGATAATCTATTTTCGGAAAATTTGGTTATCTAACCAACTTTCCCGGAAAGTAGATATTTCCCATTTTTGGCGATACCAATTTCGTTTTCTATGATAATCTGCTTCTTAAAATTAGGTAATATTTCCCCCAAAATTCGAAAATCTATTCCCCCGAAAAATCGATAATCTACTTTCCCGAAAAGTAGAAAATCTATCTACTTTTCGGGAAAGTAGATAACCAACTTTCCCGGAATGTAGATATTTCCCATTTTTTATGATACAAATTTCCCGTTTTCTATGATAATCTATTTTCGGGAAAGTTCTTTATCTAACCAACTTTCGCGGAAAGTAGATATTTCCCATTTTTATGATACAAATTTTCCCGTTTTCTATGATAATCTATTTTCGTAAGAATTTGGTTATCTAACCAACTTTCGGAAAGTAGATATTTCCCCATTTTTTTATGATACCGTTTCCCCACCGTTTTCTATGATAATCTATTTTCGGGAAAGTTGGTTATCTAAGAAACTTTCGCGGAAAGCAGATTTTTCCCATTTTTATGATACAAATTTCCAGTTTTCTATGATAATCTATTTTCGGCAAATTTGGTTATCTAACCAACTTTCCCGGAAAGTAGATATTTCCCATTTTTTATGATACAAATTTCCCGTTTTCTATTTTAGGGAAAGTTGGTTATCAAAGAAACTTTCGCGGAAAGTAGATATTTCCCATTTAATATGATGCAAATTTCCCGTTTTCTATGATAATCTACTTCGCAAAATTAGGAAATATTTCCCCCAAAATTCGAAAATCTACTTCCCCGAAAAGTCGATAATCTACTTTCCCGAAAAGTAGAAAATCTATCTTCTTTCCGGGAAAGTAGATAACCAACTTTTCCGGAAAGTAGATATTTCCCATTTTTATGATACAAATTTCCCGTTTTCTATTGTAATCTACTTCGCAAAATTAGGTAATATTTCCCCCAAAATTCGAAAATCTACTTCCCCGAAAAGTCGATAATCTACTTTCCCGAAAAGCAGAAAATCTATCTACTTTTCGGGAAAGTAGATAACCAACTTTCCCGGAAAGTAGATATTTCCCATTTTTTATGATACAAATTTCCCGTTTTCTATGATAATCTACTTCACAAAATTAGGTAATATTTCCTCCAAAATTCGAAAATCTACTTCCCCGAAAAGTCGATAATCTACTTTCCCGAAAATTAGAAAATCTATCTACTTTTCGGGAAAGTAGAAAACCAACTTTCTCGGAAAGTAGATATTTCCCATTTTTTATGATACAAATTTCCCAGTTTCATGATAATCTACTGCAAAATTAGGCAATATTTCCAAAATTCGAAAATCTACTTCTCGAAAAAGTCGATAATCTACTTCTTTAGTAGAAAATCTATTCACTTTTCGGGAAAGTAGATAACCAACTTTCCCGGAAAGTAGATATTTCCCATTTTGTATGATACAAATTTCCCGTTTTCTATGATTATCTACTTCGCAAAATTATGTAATATTTCCCCCCAAATTCGAAAATCTACTTCCCCGAAAAGTCGATAATCTACTTTCCCGAAAAGTAGAAAATGTATCTACTTTTCGGGAAAGTAGATAACCAACTTTCCTGGAAAGTAGATATTTCCCATTTTTTATGATACAAATTTCCCGTTTTCTATGATAATCTACTTCGCAAAATTACGTAATATTTTCCCCCAAATTCGAAAATCTACTTCCCCGAAAAGTCGATAATCTACTTTCCCGAAAAGTAGAAAATCTATCTACTTTTTGGGGAAAGTAGATAACCAACTTTCCGGAAAGTAGAGATATTTCCCATTTTATGATACAAATTTCCGTTTTCTATGATAATCTACTTAAAATTACGTAATATTCTCAAAATTCGGAAAATCTACTTCTAGGAAGAGAATCTACTTTTCCCGAAAGTAGAAAATTCATCTACTTTTCGGAAAGTAGATAACCAACTTTCCCGGAAAGTAGATATTTCCCCATTTTTTACATACAAATTTCCTGTTTTCTATGATAATCTACTTCAAAAATTGCTAATATCAAAATTGAAAAATTCATCTCAAAAAGTCGATAATCTACTTCCCGGAAAGTAGAAAATCTATCTACTTTTCGGGGAAGTAGATAACCAACTTTCCCGGAAAGTAGATATTTCCCATTTTTTATGATACAAATTTCCCGTTTTCTATGATAATCTACTTTCGCAAAATTAGGTAATATTTCCCCAAAATTCGAAAATCTACTTCTCCGAAAAGTCGATAATCTACTTTCCCGAAAAGTAGAAAATCTATCTACTTTTCGGGAAAGTATATAACTAACTTTCCCGGAAAGTAGATATTTCCAATTTTTTATGATACAAATTTCCCGTTTTCTATGATAACTACTTCGCAAAATTAGTAATATTTTCCCCATTTCGAAAATCTACTCAAAAGTCGATAATCTACTTTCCCGAAAAGTAGAAAAATCTATCTACTTTTTTGAGAAAGTAGATAAATCAACTTCTTCCCGAGAAAAGTAGATATTTCATTTTATGATACAAATTTCCTGTTTTATGATAATCTACTGCAAAAATTGTGCGTAACATTTCAAAATCGAAAATCTACTTCCCCGAAAAGTGGATAATCTACTTTCCCGAAAAGAAGAAAATCTGTCTACTTTTCGGGAAAGTAGATAACCAACTTTCCCGGGAAGTAGATATTTCCCATTTTTTATGATACAAATTTCCCGTTTTCTATGATAATCTACTTCGCAAAATTAGGTAATATTTCCCCCAAAATTCGAAAATCTACTTCCCCGAAAAGTGGATAATCTACTTTCCCGAAAAGAAGAAAATCTATCTACTTTCGGTAGATAACCAACTTTTCCCGGAAAGTAGATATTTCCCGTTTTTATGATACAAATTTCCTGTTTTCTATGATAACTACTTCGCAAAATTAGGTAATATTTCCCCCAAAATTCGAAAATCTACTTCCCCGAAAAGTCGATAATCTACTTTCCCAAAAAGTAGAAAATCCATCTACTTTTCGGGAAAGTAGATAACCAACTTTCCCGGAAAGTAGATATTTCCCATTTTTTATGATACAAATTTCCCGTTTTCTATGATTATCTACTTCGCAAAATTACGTAATATTTCCCCCCAAATTCGAAAATCTACTTCCCCGAAAAGTCGATAATCTACTTTCCCAAAAAGTAGAAAATCTATCTACTTTTCAGGAAAGTAGATAACCAACTTTCCCGGAAGTAGATATTTCCCATTTTTTATGATACAAATTTCCCGTTTTCTATGATAATCTACTTCGCAAAATTACGTAATATTTCCCCCAAAATTCGAAAATCTACTTCCCCGAAAAGTGGATAATCTACTTTCCCGAAAAGTAGAAAATCTATCTACTTTTCGGGAAAGTAGATATTTCCCATTTTTTATGATACAAATTTCCCGTTTTCTATGATAATCTACTTCGCAAAATAAAGTACTATGCCTTGTTATGTAGGCCCTACTTCTTATTCTGTACTCACCCCTCAAGATGTAAATTACACGAAAGCGCTTGGGAACTTCGTGTTTTCTTTTTCCTTGTGGTTATCAGTATATATGTGGATCATGCGTATTGTGGGGTTCAGGTTGTTTGGTTCACACTCAGGATGGGATGGAGAAAGGAAACTCACAATGTGCTCTCTATATACATGTTGTATTGGATGTACAATGCAGCTTGGTGCTGGGAAGGCAGCATGGTTACAAGCGTGATGTAGAGAGAGCTGGTAGGTGAGGATGCTGAGAGAAGGACAGCTTGTGCGTCGCCATGCTCGCCGGCGGGAGAGAGGACCGCCAGGCAGCGGCGGAGGAGGATGTGTTGCTGGCTGCGGCTGTAGGTAGAAAGAGGACAGGTCACCACGAGGTCAGGTCTTAAATAGCGGGGGTAGGCGTGGCTTAGTAGTTGACCCCCGCTCCGTGATGTATGGCGGCACTGGATGACCTCGACCACGAGGCAAACACTGGGGAATTGGTGGGGTCGGCTACTCAGCGACAAACAGCGTTGTAGGGGAGAAATCCACTACAGCACCTACAGTGATTTACTTGCCTATATATATATATATATATATATATATACAAACTGGATAATTTCGTAATTAAGATGATTTGTAACCAGGTGAGAAGGTTGGGTCAGCTTACCCTCTGACCTGACTACCGACTGCTGGGGTGCTTTTTGAAGATTAGTAGGGGTCATTACCTAATACCTGACCATTGTGGACTTGATCTCACTCTCCTCTGTATACGGTGTATATATATATATATATATATATATATATATATATATATATATATATATATATATATATATATATATATATATATATATATATATATATATATATATATATACCTTGTTTTGTACTTCTCCTTAGTCTGTACTCACCCCTGAAGATGTGAATTACACGAAAGCGCTTGGGAACTTCGGATTTTCTTCTTTCCTTGTGGTTGTGTATATATATATATATATATATATATATATATATATATATATATATATATATATATATATATTGTACACAATACATGTTCCTAAACACTTTACTTTCACTGCACATCTTACAAGACAATTTTTACCATAAGAAAGTGTCAGTAATTTTTACATTATAAGTAAAATATTCATTAATATATGCAATGTACATTTTGTTAGGAACATTCTGTGCAAATATTACTACAGTACAGTAATAGATAACTCCTCTATCATCATATATTAGTTCCCAAGTGTAATTAAGTGACAATTACCGTCAAATATAATTACCCAAATGTAACTGAATGGAAGGTAAATTAAGCTGGAGGTTAATGGAATAATTTCGTTGAACCACTTGAACCGACCCGGAAACTCTGATCAGTATCAGTCGAGCTGCACCATGGCGAGACTCCCTGTCATCTGGTGCCTGGTTGTGGTGCTGGTGGTGAGTGTAGTGCTGGTGTAGTGTGGTATAGTGTAATGCTGGTGTGGGTGTAGGGTGTGGTATGGTGCTGGTGTAGAGTGTGGTGATGGTGGTGAGTAGTGTTTGGCGTAATGTGTGGTGCTGGTGTGGTGTGGTGCTGGTGTAGTGTGTGGTGCTGGTGGTGGGTGTAGTGCCACTGGTGAGTGTAGTGTGGTGTAGTGCTGGTGGCGAGTGTACTGTGGTGTAATGCTGGTGGTGGCTGTAGTGTGTGGTGCTGGTGGTGAGTGTAGTGCTGGTGTAGAATGTGGTGTGGTGGTGAGTGTAGTGCTGGTGTAGAATGTGGTGTGGTGGTGAGTGTAGTGCTGGTGTAGAATGTGGTGTGGTGGTGAGTGTGGTGCTGGTGGTGGGTGTGGTGCTGGTGTAGTGCCAGGAGTGTAGTGCTGGTGGTGAGTGTAGTGTGGTGTAGTGCTGGTGGTGATTGTAGTGTGTAGGTGGTGTAGTGCTGGTGGTGAGTGTAGTGTGGTGCTGGTGGTGTGGTGTGGTGCTGGTGGTGTGTGTGTGTGCTGCTGGTGAGTGTAGTGGTGGTGTGGTGCTGGGTGTAGTGTGGTGGAGTGCTGTTGGTGGGTGTAGTGCCACTGGTGAGTGTAGAGTGTAGTGCGGTGTAGTGCTTGTGGTAGGTTTAGTATGGTGTAGTGCTAGTAATGAGTGAAGTGGTGAGTGTGGTGGGGGGTCATGCAACTCATTAAATTAAGGTGTGGTTGTTGTGTTGGCGACAGTTTCTACATCTTAAACAAATTCACGCCTAGGTGGCCCTTAGGCCGGTCAACCTGTTTTATATATATATATATATATATATATATATATATATATATATATATATATATATATATATATATATATATATATATATATATATATATATATATATATATATATATATATATATATATATATATATATATATATATATATATATAGTATATATATATATATATATATATATATATATATATATATATATATATATATATATATATATATATATATATATATATATATATATATATATATATATATATATATATATATATATATATATATATATATATATATATATATATCAGGTTGACCTTGAGATATATGTAAATGGAAGACAGTGTATAAAAATCTCATTCTTTTAGGTGACTTACAAATAATAACTAATTCATGGTTCTCTACCAGACAAGGAGGATGTGTGTGTTCTCGGCTGCTGCTGCCAACACTACCTATGACCTTCCAGGTTCACCACTAACGGTGCCACCGTCTGGACCATCTTCCGACATCTTTGGATTTGTGGCGGCTGACCAACCTAACTTCCTGTTTGTGCCGGTGTTTTGGGACAAAGAGGTTAAACACGAGGTTCTTCGAGATAATCAAATCAGGTTTGAGGCTCCAAGGAATGACAAAGTGCAGGTTGCAGCCACAGTGAGCAATCAGGTCAAGCTTAAAGCCCTAGAGAATGACCAGATCAAGTTAGGGGCCATAGAGGAAAATCAGGTCATGTTTGAGGGCCAGGAGGGACATGACACAGTAGATGTTGCGATAGTGCCAGAAGGTGAGTTACAGCTGCTGTTGTTGGCTCACATCCCGACGAAGGGAGAGCCAGGCATGCTGACCGAAGGAAATTTGGGTGGTCGTAGATCCTTGGCCACGAGGGAGCAACACGACGTTCTCCCTCGTTCCCCAACACATTCTTCCTCTGCCTCCTCCTTCGAGTACGTCTTCTTGAAGTCTTCCTCATTTGACTATATTATTTTTAATGAAACAGACCACACCATTAACTGGTATGGTTAGAGGATTGGAATGAGCCAAGAGGTGGAAAAAATAAAATAAATTCATAGAACAATTATGTGTGTGTGTGTAGACACACACAAAACACATACAAATAAATAATAATGGGAAAATCGTCTCACAAATAATTAATCGGGAACTTATAATAGAAATTGGAAAAACTTATCAGAAAATGGGAAATGTTATCATCATAGAAAATGGGAGATTTTTTCATCATATAAAAAGTGAAATTTCTCATCATACAAATTTGGAAATTTTCTCACCACAGAAAATTTAATATTTTCTCAATATAGAAAATGGAAAATTTTCCTCTGAGACTAAGCAGCTGGTGTCCAATCTTTATTAATTACAGAAACAAACATACATTCATAATTACCCTTTATAAGTATTATAATCAGAACATTTCCTTAATGGGAGACTTGACAATGCACAGCAAGTGCAATACAGTATCACTTTTTTTATATACACTCAAATATTCACTTAAACTGATTGACAAATACAAAGTACAGTAGTAAAGAAATCATATTAAGTATTACTTCTTTACTACTGGCAGTAACAATTGACCCCAAAAAGATGCTTCATGGAATTATATTCTTAAGTTACTGAAACTACAACAGAGCACCTTAACTGCTATCATATAATAAATTAAAGTTTTCATAAAGGTGTTATCAATATGCCCTGAATTTTTATATACCGGTATTAGTGCACAAACCCCAAATGTTGGTAATCACAAACCTCAGCTATTATCCCATACACAACACAGATCCTGGAAAAAGTATCAAGAGATAATTTAATGATTACAATGGAATGGAATGACTTAAGGTATCACAAAACTTTGACAGAGTTTTGTTTATTTTGATGTACACACTAAAAAAAACAAAAAAACACTATGAATCAATATGACACCATGGACGATGGATAGGCAAATCAACAGCACATATTGCACATTACAATGTTAAGAGTCAATGATCTGCACTATGAAGGCAGTGGAGTGAACTTCAACACCATTCCTCCTTGCAGAGGCACACTCAGGTGTACACCCAAGTACAGTATTGTAAAATCTGGACTGGTGAAATGGCGAATACAAAAACCCTGTAATTTATTATTTCAAGTACATGTTTGTGCAATATTTACTTTTTTATTATTTCTCCCAAATTATCACAAATTTAATTTCACTGTGTGCAAAAGTTATCCTATATGCTGGGTTCTGCATGGATGCAACCCCTGTGCATAATGAGAGTTTATTGCAGTTTGTTCAGAAATTCAACTTTATGAGAAGAAATGTTTAAGAATAAAGAATGCTTGAACTACTGACAGGTAAGCTGGTAGTATTATCACCCCCAGAGTTGCAACCCAGCCTGCTAGCTAAGAAGATGCTTGTAAGTCTTGCATATGTCAAGTTCCCACTCTAAAAGTGAGTTAGTGATACGAAGGGCAGCCAGCCTTAAAACTTGCTTAAAATTTGCCTGATGGCATACAGGACATCATGCACTCAAGTAATCACATCTAACAAAAGAAATCAAGGAATATTTACTGTAAGATGGAACATCTCCATTTATCACAATGTCTTTTCAAATGTACAGTAAGACATATATTGTAGTAGATTGATAATTTAATCAATATTTAAGATAAAAGAGGTTCTTATAACAGTTGCTGCTTTAGGCTGGCATTCTCTTTTTTCACTTGATTCAGATCAGTCTTAAGTTGTGTCAAATTCTCCTCCACTTTTTTGCTCTTCTCAAGATCAACCTGGAAAAAATCGAGAAGGGTTTTGGAGTTTACCCACAGTAATAACTACACCTGTACATACCCTGGAATAAAACTAATAACCCAATAATGGTTTCCATATACTTGAGCATAGTTTTAGTTTTTATGATAAAATTTTTATGCAAAAAAAGTAGAGCAACTACTGTATACAGATTGGGAATCCTTTATCCAAAATGCTTGGGGCTGAAAGGGTCTCGGATTTGGTATATTTTTAGATTTTGGAACACCTACACCTGTATAATGCAGTAGCTCACCCAGCAGGGATGGGGCCCAAGTCTATTCATAAAATTCTTTTATATTTCATTTAAAGTATATATATGGATGCATATAGTGTGTGTGTGTTTATATATGCAATACCTGTACAGTATATAAATATATATATATGTTGGGCTCAAAGACCGAAAACGACCAATGGTTTTCTTTTTGTAAACAGGATATTAACACATCTTCATCATCCATCAGCACTAACATTGGTCGATATTCATATTAATATTCTTCCCATCTCTTTTGGATGAGAATTCATTCGAATCAAACTGTTCCATTGTCAGATGCACTCTGTGAGTTGAACAGAGGGTTAGCATAGTGACCTGACATCCAGGAAGGGTGCAACAGGCTCTGTGCCCTTTACTGCGAGTGTATAATGAACTGGTTATCATCACATGTTTCCTTCGAGGTTAAGGGAACTCTGGAAGGTGTAGTGGAGTCAGCACTCTGACTCCCACACAGCTTCACAATGTCAATCTTCATTCCCAGAAATATGGTTTTCTTGGGTGCCTTGGCCTTCCCAGACATTTTCAAAGTTAAACTGCTCACTTCAGTCAGAAAAACAGAGCAATAGTACTTGTCACAAAAATAGAGCAACCGATAATGTAAAAACAATGATAGCGATCAACAGGGCTCACATCATGTTCATAACAGAGGCAAAGCACTTTACAGTCACCAAAACAGAGTGCAATGATGTTCCTACTATCAAATGAATTACAAGGTAATATTGAGGAGGCATTATCCCAGTCAATGCAATGCTTGTTATCCCTCAAATGAACAAACAGAACATTGGATTCCTGGCCTGTCCTAACACTATATTTATGTTGTTTAAGTCTAGTTACAAGATCTTTATCTGTCTGGCCTAAGTAAAACATATTACATTCCTTGCAAGGAACTTTATAAATGCAACCAATTGTGTTGTTGGGGGAGTTCTTGATTAACATTTGTTTAACAGTGCATGAGTTTTTAAATGCCACATTGACGTTCCAGGTTTTTAGTTGTAAAGGAATGTGTGAGAAATTTTTGTGAAATGGTAATATTAAGATATTCTTATGGTCATGGGTAATTCAATTGATAGTAGGAACATCATAAAATCTAGTCTCATTAAACATACTGAAGCATTCAACATGAATTTGAGTAATGGCATGTACAAACTGGACAATTTTGTAATTAAGAAGATTTGTAACCAGGTGAGAAGGTTGGGTCACCTTACCCTCTGACCTGACTACCGACCATTGCGGTGCTATTTAAAGATTAGTAGGGTCATTACCTAATCCTTGACCATTGTGGACCTGATCTCACCCTCCTCTGTAAATATACACCTTGTTTTGTACTTCTCTTTAGTCTGTACTCAACCCCTGAAGATGTGAATTACATGAAAGCGCTTGGGAACTTCGTGTTTTCTTCTTTCCTTGTGGTTATCAGCATATACCTAGATCACGTGCACCTACAGTGATTTACTTGCATATATATATATATATATATATATATATATATATATATATATATATATATATATATATATATATATATATATATATATATATATATATATATATATATATATATATATATATATATATATATATATATATATATATATATATATATATATATATATATATATATATATATATATATATATATATATATATATATATATATATATATATATATATATATATATATATATATATATATATATATACAGTATATATATCCACACACAATACAGGTAAAAGAAATAATTGTCCTTAGGGCTAACACAAAGGGAATATACATTTCTTTGTATGCAAGTAAAAATGGACACACCCCCCCCCCAGGACCTACTGTACATTTAACTACTCTTTTCACAACTCTATGGAGAATATTCAACTACATGTACAAAATACAGTAAAATAAAACATTTTATAAATAATATTACCAACATCCTTCATACTTTGTTAAACAAAGAAATAGTTGATTGATGATAGCTGAAAATTTATTAGAAACATCTCAAAGCTATTACACTTACCTGTTCTCTTAAATCAGCTATTTCTCTCTGCACAGTCCCAGTATCACGTACAATATCCACCAGTTCACCACAGCCTTCGTGCACAGCTGCCACTGCTCGGTAAACTTGACGCACGCGTTCGTTGTTAGCCGCCTCCTGCAAATATAAACAAGTTTTGTATCTATATTTATACAGGAAATATATTCTACCTAATGAATCGTGCAGGTTCAAATTCATTACTACACTGAGTACTAAATTACTTTTTAACAGACTTCTGTGTTGATAGTATTCGTTAATAAACAGTGGTCTATATACTGTACAAGATACAGTATACCAAATGAATATTCTGTTTACCATGTTAATTTACCATATCATACCAGTATTTTTTTTTAATTTCCAGAAAGTGAAATCAGTTAGATGAGTTGGCAGAAAAGTTACTTGGTACAGTATGCTAATGGTCTCAAAACCCAGAAGAAAGTTACGAAAATCAGATTGTTTGCCCATCTACCTTTATATGTATAAATCAGTGACTGTTGTATGGACATTTGCAGTGCACAGCTACAGTTTTGGCCACAGTAGTCAGCTTCTCCCCTCCCCCCAAAAGAACCCCCCACATTAAAACTACATCTATTTTTCTGCGACTTTTGTTACGTTTAACTAAAATAAATAAGATAAGGAGTTGAAATTTGGTTTGCTCTTGTAACTGGCCCCCAAGATTGCTCACAAACATATAAATAGGGGTTGGTCCCCACCCACCTAAAAGTGGGTCCCCCTGTGCACCACCACATTTTTAACAGAAAGCTCAAATTTAGTAAGCTTATTTTTGTTTTTGCATCTTCAATGCAAAATAGCATTAGTGCGATCTGGCAGCTATGTGGACTGCACTCCAAGGTCACCACACCAGTCTCCCATCTGTATTTAAAGGACCCAGGATATAACGTTCACCCAAGTTTTTCACGCATTTTCTTGCGGCTTGTGCCGATTTCTCATACATCAGTGATTTTATTTATTCACAAGTGTTGTTAGAATTCTGAACCATGCCTCGTGTTGATGGCGAGGGT